TTCTCCATAACAACGGGAGTTACAACCAAGTGCTGATAAGAGACTGCAGAGGTACAGATAAGCTGCGTATCTGCGTAAACTACGCAAATATTTATGTGAAAACTCAATTCCTCCTAAGTCCATTGCGTACAAGTACGCATGAATTTGTGCAAATACCCAATAAATGTGATCTTACATGTGTACACACAAAAATGTCAAATCTTAGCCTATGTACCGGTGGATAGATAAAATAGTTGAAGTATATTGAGAGGTTCTATTTCAGGGCATGAACTTGACAACTTGCAGTCTTTCGGATCGTTTCTCATATTACAGATCAAATGTAAATCACAAACACTAACATTTAAACTTTATTACATTTTTACGGTTAATGGTAAATAGCAAATACCCAATTGAGCTTGAGTGCGGTGAGTACAATTTGTTTGCTTACTCAAAGGAAAACTAGGACTGACTGACTGACTGACTGAGTTTGGTTTTACGCCGCTTTTAGCAATATTCCAGCAATATCACGGCGGGGGACACCAGAAATGGACTTCACTCATTGTACCCATGTGGGGATTCGAACCCGGGTCTTCGGCGTGACGAGCCAACGCTTTAACCACTAGGCTACCCCACCGCCCCGGAAAACTAGGATACCCAATTGAGATCAACATAAGAAAGTACATAACTCAATTATCCCAAAAGTTATTTGTGGTTCTGATGAGATCATTGTTTGATATCAATACAAAAAGCGACTAAACACTTTCGACCAACATAAGAAATTTCTGCTAGAAGTAGCATCAGTTGTACAATTCCGATGATATAATATTACACGCTGTAATCAATCTATGTAAATACCATCTTGTGGAAAGGTTGAAATGAACAATAATCAGAAAGAATCGAATTCTTGCAGCAGTTGGGTAGTCCAGTTGTTAAAGCGTTCAATCGAAAGACGAAAGAGCGAGTTCGATTCCTTACATGAGTAGGCCCGTGAAGATCCGGGGTAGAATAGGTCTTCAGCAACCCATGCTTGCCACACAAGGCGACTATGCTTGTCGTAAGAGGCGACTAACGGGATCGGGTAGTCAGGCTCGCTGACTTGGTTGACACATGTCATCGGTTCCCAATTGCGTTGATCGATGCTCATGCTGTTGATCACTGGATTGTCTGGTCCAGACTCGATTATTTACAGATCGCCGCCATATAGCTGGAATATTGCTGAGTGCAACGTAAAACTAAACTCACTCACTCACTCACCTTACATGAGTAATATGTTTGAAGCCCATTCCTGGCGTTAACTACTATTATAGATCCCTGGAATGGGACTACAAACGTTGTAAAACAATACTCACTCATTCTCAAAGTTATGCATTCATGCAATGGCTTTTAAATGACAATCTACCTATATGGCCAACTGTTGTTACCTTTTGATAAATGCTTCATATACTCAAAATGACTCATACCAGGAAGTTATTTAAACAGATACGTAATCGTACACGTACATGCACTTGAGTGGTCATAAGCGACAGGTTTATATGAAATCAATTATGGATCAAAAGATCTGGTCAACGTGTTCATGTCAACAAAAGTAGCGTCGTGTGTTTTTTAACGCATACCTCTTTGTGAGTGAGTTCAGTTTTATGCCGTTTTGTGAAGTATGTTACAGAGCACCGTGTATTTACATAGACTCACCAGCAAGTGTGACTATACATGGTACTGCAAACCAAGGCATGATATTGACGAACGAAGAATTGATCAACGCACAGTATTCTACCACGACAAAGGGACACAACAAGGAAACAGTGTCAGAATAGACAGTCCACAAATGTCCCCTTCAAGTGCCCCGAATAGCTGGAAAATTGCTGGTGCGGCGCAAAGCAATATTCATTCATTTATTTATTCCCTTTCAAGTGACGAGAGAGAGATTCAGTAGGATTTAACGCCGACTTGAACATCGTTCATGATTTATCATGATACGTCACTGTGGGGGGAAGGTAAACAATAAACCAACCCCACCCCACCCCACCCAACACCAACATCCACACAGGGCCGTAGTTAACTATTCTTAACATTGGGGGGCACTATCAACATTAAAGGAGTGTTATTTCAATACTTTGATGCATAAAAAGTAATCTGTAAAAACATTCTAGGGGGGGCAGCTGCCCCCCCCCCCGGTCTAACTACGGCCCTGCCACACCCTCGAAGAGAGAGAGAGAGAGAGAGAGAGAGAGAGAGAGAGAGAGAGAGAGAGAGAGAGATCAACACACACACCACAGACACAGACACACACACACACACACACACACACACCTTCACCACAACTGATGAAACCCACAAGCTAGAGTTGGGTATTGACACAACTGGAACTATAATCAGGACAAAACGGGATTCGAACCCACGAACCTAACTCCTGGCATACCAAAGGGAGGCAACTCATCACAGCAAACCGCTTCAAGTGATGATGTAAAATGTAAAATTGGTTATTTTCTGTTTCCTCTACATAGCTACTAAACCCCTCAGCGCAACGTGGTGCTTTTAACAACACAGCTATTAACCGGTAGCGTTTACCTAACAACTCCTTATAAGCAACTTATATCTTTTTATCGCAGCATGCCACTTGTACAAAGTATACACACACGGTCAACAAACAGCATTATTAGGTTCAATGTTAATACGTTACTTTTCTAGTTATCGGCGTTTGACAAAAGAATGTTTGTTGTCTACGTGAATAACGGGAGCCGGGATACAAGGATATGTATATCGCATTGTAATACATGCTCAACTCTCTGGTTACTGGGCCGGTTCGGAGTGGTCGTGTATAGTATGTATGATACAAGTATCGTCCATGTAAACCAAACTTGATATGGTGTACGCCATCATTGTTCAGGTATTCTTAAGTCAAAGAATACATGACTTCTTGCTGCAAACAAGTAACATTTTATTACCTGTTCCTCAGTCTGTTTTGCTGTAATCGCCTAGTATTTCAGATTAATTTGGATCGCAACCTTCCAAGTTTTTGTATTAACTGGAAGCGTTGTTTATAAGAACACTGTACATTAAAACGTCCAGAGAGATAAGACGTTGAATTAATTGTTTTCGGCAGTACACTATTACTGTAAAACAGAATCATATATAATCATGCCAATAATGGTTGTCACCCCTTCAATTTTTTTCATTGGGGAGGGGTGTGTGGGGTGGGTGGGGGTTTGGATGGGGAGGGGTGACAACCATTATTGGCATGAGTATATAATTACAGGTGGTACAAGGTTAAAAAGTAAATTTTGTTTTGCTAAGTTTTACGGTTTCTTCATTGGATTATACAGACTTGACCGCGAAATTACGTTGCTGACCTATGAATGACACATAGTGACGTTTATACGTTTTGCATGACATTGTATTCTTGAAATACCTTAATCACTAATGCTCTAGTTACACAAACCTGCGGATGGAAAGAACGAAAAAGCATGTATTTGTGTAAAATAAGACGCGGTTGAGCTGTGCGCCCGAGAGTGTTATATTTGGGAAGAAACTCTAATGGTGTTTGGTTCCTTTCAGCTAGTACTATAGAATGTGGTACAGGTAATATTTATTAAGTATATTCTAGGTATATTAAATCGCAAACTTTTCTTTTGGACTAGAGCCATCAATGTTTGTAAAAAGTGATAAGGGGATCGTGTGGACAGACACGCTGATACAAGTTGAGTAGATCGATGCTCATGATGTCAGTCACAGGATTGTTTGATTCAGGTTCGATTATTTACAGTTAGTATAGCACTGATCGTGACGTAAAACGGGAAACAAACAAAGAAACCAACAAACAAACAAACAAAAATCAAACCTTTCCTGGACTTTTGGTAGGGATGTTTCTATTTTTCTGTGATACACAAATATGACTCATTTCTTTATTTGAATAAAATAATTAATCTGATTATCCCTATCAAATGTTGAATAGTGTTGGGAGTATATGTTATTGGTACCGTCACTTGCTGCGATGTACAACAAAGGAAAATGTTTCTGATAATATGATACAGCTTAATGCAACTTGGGTGTCCTAGTCATTCAAGGGCTTGCAATTCTCTGTGCAGATTTCTGTTTCGCCCCATTATGTTTCTCTACTTTGAAAACAATACCTGTTTACGTGGGTATCATCAAAGTAGTAAATGACCCAACCTGCCTCAGTTCTGGCTTTTCCTCCACGCTGCCCAAAACGGCGTTCAACCCACTCACTCACTCACTCACTATCGACAATGCTAAGTTTTCTTATAATGACCAAAGTTTCTACCGTTCAGATTGTAGCGGTTACTATGGCAACATATGAGATGTATGTAACCAAGGAGCTAATTTGCAATCATTGTGAAATCATTACTCTGAAACATGCAGCTAATATATTTGCTGATGTCCTTTCCTGCAATTTAGACATAATAAATATCACACTAATGTCCATAGTTTCTATGTTTGGGTCGTGCAAGCAATAACATGGTGATCCTTCACCGGTTGCCAGTTTTAGTCAGACACCGTTGTGCCTTCCCGTACCTGGTTCTATTTCTGCTGGCCGTGGAACACACGATGATAAAACGTGATATGAATGGGTAGTATTGTCAATGATCCATGTTTAAAGATGACATCTATCATTCATCACTCAACATATAAGAAATCAGAACGCCCTTCGTCATATTGCATGCGGCGCTCGATCCGAACGAAGCTAATAAAGCGTAGCTCGCATAAAGAACAGAGCTATGCCGTGTTAACTCTATGCCTGTCGAGAAGTGATCGAACTCTTTTATCGATCGATTGATTCGCGGTAGGGTTTTTATTTAAGAGTGTAGCATGTCGTTCGAAAGCTGATTTTCCCCATTGCAAGATGGGTGCCATCACTAAGGGATACTGTGAAAAGAAAACATTTCAAAAAGATTAGTTTGTCAACGACGTTCTTATTGATTTGGACATACAAGAGTTAACAATGTTGTCGTCAGTGACTGACAGGCTACAGTTAAGTCTTCAATCACCCTCGTAACCGGCTTGGCTGAGAGAGGTTCACTTGAGGCTGTCAAATACAGCCTTGTGTCATAACCCGAGCATGTATACTGGCCAGTTAAAGAGGACATTTCATCGGAGGAGATAGGTCACGATGGACACGTTACAAATTAGGAGGTATGTGTTTTCTACCCACTTCCTTAATCCGGTGCTACAGTGTTGATCTGGTATCGCTATATCTTGTTATGGTTTCATGCCTTAGGGGTTCCTCAAAAGAAATTATCGCTTCATCGTAAAACGGTGCGTGCCATAATTTGCAGCTCTTTAGTTTTGACGATAAGGACAGCTAACGTGACCATGGGAAATTTAGGGTTTATTTAAAACAAAACAAAATGATAAAATCACAACCGAAATTATTGGAGATAAATACCATTATGGATTATAATGAAGCATAAATTATTATTCTTTTCTCTCGGGTCTCATTTTAAATAATAATCGTCAGGTTATGAAAGCTTACCCTTTAATTGCATGTATAATAAGGGTTTGAAATTAATAATATGATGTCAATCTGATTGTTTGTGAAATGTAGGTTTACCATAACACTTGTTCATATTGTTGTTCCTTCTATATTGGGATGAAAATATAACAGTAGTTAAGGGTGTACTTAGTTGTTGTAAGCTTGTGATCGAGGTAAGTAAAGTTAACAATATCAAAAGTCATTGGGTGACATTAAATGTCTACTATCATCTAAATATGTATATCGTCTTGATCAATATTACCTGAATGCACATGCCGTCAAATCAATATGATATGCATGTATATCTCATTGGATCAATATTATCTGAATGTATATACTATCAGGTTCAATATTATCTGAATGTGTATATCATCAGGATCAATATTATCTGAATGTGTATATCATTTGGATCAATATTAACTGAATGTATATACTATCTTGATCAATGTTTATCTGAATGTGTATATCATCTGGATCAATATTATCTGAATGTATACACTATCTTGATCAATGTTATCTGAATGTGTATATCATCAGGATCAATATTATCTGAACGGATATACTATCTTGATCAGTATTATCTAAATGTGTGTATCATTTGGATCAATAATATCTGAATGTCTATACTATCTGGATCAATATTATCTGAATGTATACACTATCTAGATCAATATTATCTAAATGTGTATATCATCTGATCAATATTATCTAAATGTGTATATCATCAGGATCAATATTATCTGAACGTATATACTATCTTGATCAAAGTTTATCTGAATGTATACACTATCTTGATCAATATTATCTGAATGTGTATATCATCTGGATCAATATTATCTGAATGTATACACAATCTTGATCAATATTATCTAAATGTGTATATCATCTGGATCAATATTATCTGAATTCATACACTATCTAGATCAATATTATCTAAATGTGTATATCATCTGGATCAATATTATCTGAATTCATACACTATCTTGATCAATATTATCTAAATGTGTATATCATCTGGATCAATATTATCTCAATTCATACACTATTTTGATCAATATTATCTGAATGTATATACTATCTAGATCAATATTATCTGAATGTGTGTATTATCTAGATCAATATTATCTGAATGTGTGTATTATCTAGATCAATAATATCTAAATGTGTATTCTATCTTGAACTATCTTTATCTGAATGCATACACTATCTTCATCAATATTATCCGGATCAATATTATTTGAATGTATGTACTATGTGTATCAATATCATCTGAATGTATATATTATCCTGATCAATAATATCTAAATGTGTAGATCATCTGGATCAATATTATCTCAATTCATACACTATTTTGATCAATATTATCTGAATGTATATACTATCTAGATCAATATTATCTGAATGTATGTACTGTCTGGATCAATTTTATCTCATTGTGTATATCATCGGAATATCAATATTATCTGACTGTATATACTATCTTCATCAATATTTATCTGAATGCATATACCATCTAGATCAATATAATATAAAGCATATATCATCTTGATCAAAGGTATCACTGAATCACTGTTGTATGAATGTATATATCATTAATATCAGTATCATTTGAACGTACAACTACATCGTCAGTATCAATGATATCTGAATGCATTATTCGTTAGTATCAATATTATTTGAAAGCATATATCATACTTATATCTGAGCGGATATATCGTATTTACTGGTTAAGGTCTTGTACTTGTAAAATGCACTTACACTGAGTACTCTACTCAAACCGACTTAAGGGCTGTTGTACTTGTGAATGCGTCATATCATGAGGTCACAAAGTCTTTAATAGTCACTTTGGTATGGAAACTAGGTCTTTGACGTGACTTGCTGACGCATTGAGTACAAGGCCACTCCACCAGCCTATCAGCCAGTTAACTTGGTAAATAGTCTCCAGTGTAATATATAGAGTAGCAAGTACTACTTTCACGATAAATTCCGATTCAGTATAACTTCTTCAACAACATTCTATTCGTTGGGCAAGGAGGGTCCACCAGCTGAACAGTTCTAAATTCTGGTTTGTCTGCACCAAACCGTATTCGCTGGTTTCACGAAAGTGGTACACATCTAGTTTATGTTTCAACTCAGGAAAGAAAAACATGTCACGGTAACACCACAGGGAAATCACAGGGAAATCACAAACACGGGAGGAGTGCAGAGAAAGGGACAGCCAGGTGTTCGAGAACGGATGGAGACGGCTAAGCACAGGTTAATGAGTAAATACTATTTGTTACGAGGAACGTGCTTCTCGAACACCTGGTGTCGAGAACGGATTCGGCACTCCTCAGGTTAATGAGTAAATAAGTGAACTGTGTCAATATTTTAATGATAGATTGTTAAACAACTTTTTTATTTTTAGGACAAAAATTCTGCAAAAACCTCACAGAGTGGGTATGATGTTTTGATTATGATCAGCGTTTCATTGAGTATTTTATGTTTATTAGTTTTCGAGTTAGATTGCAATTCATCGGTCCGCTTTTGAGCCAAACCACCTTTTTTTATAAAAGTTAGTGTCATAGTTAGTGTTATAGTTGCAGTACTGGGCAAAATAGGATGACGTGTACCCTAAACTTGCATCATTATTAAAGGGGCGTGGTGTAGCCTTGTGGTTAAAGCGTTCGCTCGTCACGTCGAAGACCCGAGTTCGATTCCCACATGGGAAAAATGTGAGAAGCCCATTACTGGTGTCCCCGCCGTGATATTGCTTGAATATTGTTAAAAGCGGCATAAAACCATATTCACTCACCCATTCGTGAAGTACAGTTTAAATGTCGTGTTCGCGATTACTGCACATGTTTTTTGCCATGTGCATGCACGTGTATGATTGTACTAGTCCGGGCTTTATAGTGTTTCCTCTCAGATACCAAACCGTATTTGAACGTACACATCCAACTAATTAATACACAGTATACTTTCTCCGAGCCGATCGTCCTTGTCCCCCAAAGACTGAACGACAGGCAGGGTACCAACAAGTACCATTCAAACATCTTTTGGTAAAGCTGTAGGGCGGTGGGGTAGCCAAGTGGTTAAAGCGTTCGCTCGTCAAGCCGAAGACCCGGTTTCGATTCCCACATGGGTAAAATGTGTGAAGCCCATTTCTGGTGTCCCCCGCCGTGATATTGCTTGAATAATACTAAAAGCGGCGTAAAACCAAACTCACTCAACTCACCAGTAAAGCTGTCAAGGTAATCGAACCTCCTTCTGTCTCTGGGCAAACGCTTTATCCACAACACCACAAAGCTGTTAAAGACACCACTGAAGAAATCTACCATGACATGGTACCTTTAAATATTCCATTACTACAAGAATACTTGGCAGTTATCAAGACACACATTCCAGGACACAATTACATTAATGTTATCACGACCCTTGAATTCTTCGTGGTAATCTGGGTGTTTGACGTCATAAAATCACAATTGATATGTTAATTCATGCCAAGATACACTGCCAGAATATTCCAGCTATGTTTCTGCATCACACTAAATATGTCGGACAAAATGGCATTACTGGCGATTTATTGTGGTTATATGAATAATTTTACACAATGAATACACAACGGTCGGTTTACCGCTAAACCTTTGTTAGTTCACTGCGATTAAATGATCGAGGCTGTTAATAAATGTTTATCTCTGGCAAACAGAACCAGTCAAATGGTGTTATAGATTCTTTACTGTCGCGTTGGGGTTTCTCTGTTACTGAGAGTCCTGGAGATTCCAAGTCCCCAGCAACCTGTGTAAAAGGCCACTGAAAGATCGGTTGACTTTATTGGTTGGCTACATGTCACCGTGTCCCGATCAGTGGATCGGCGCGTTTGGTGTTAATCACGGGAATGTCTAGTCGAGATTCGAGTATTTACAACTACTTTCTTATTGGTTGGCTGTATGTCACTGCATCCAGTTCAGTGGATCGGCACTTGTAATATCAATCACGGGATTGTCTAGTCCAGATTCGAGTATTTACAACTACTTTCTTATTGGTTGGCTGTATGTCACTGCATCCAGTTCAGTGGATCGGCACTTGTAATATCAATCACGGGATTGTCTAGTCCAGATTCGAGTATTTACAACTACTTTCTTATTGGTTGGCTGTATGTCACTGCATCCAGTTCAGTGGATCGGCACTTGTAATATCAATCACGGGATTGTCTAGTCCAGATTCGAGTATTTACAGCTACTTTCTTATTGGTTGGCTGTATGTCACTGCATCCAGTTCAGTGGATCGGCACTTGTCATATCAATCACAGGATTGTCTAGTCCAGATTATAGTATTTACAACTACTTTCTTATTGGTTGGCTGTATGTCACTGCATCCAGTTCAGTGGATCGGCACTTGTAATATCAATCACGGGATTGTCTAGTCCAGATTCGAGTATTTACAGCTACTTTCTTATTGGTTGGCTGTATGTCACTGCATCCAGTTCAGTGGATCGGCGCTGGAATGTCAATCACGGGATTGTGTAGTCCAGATTCGAGTATTTACAAACTGCTATCATACAGCTGAAATTATTATGACATAATTATAGGGTTAGCCTGTCTCACGGAAATGATAAATTGCATGAGTGAGTGAGTGAGTTTAGTTTTACGCCGCACTCAGCAATATTCCAGCTATATGG